CGTACACTGCAGCTTGCTGCTGCTGCGGGCGAGCTGTCTGTACACCTGAACAGCTTCCCTTCCCCCCGTTGGGCTGTTGGGAGAAAACAATTTCTTTTTGATTTTAAAAGTAAATGTTTTTGAAATAAAACACTTTATAAAACACTTTATAGTGTTTTATTTCAGAAGTATTTGTTTGAATTGGCTGCTGCTGCCGGTACACTCTGAGGTGTACAGACACCGCAGGCCAGTGGACCGCAGCCGCGCATGCAATGCTGCAGCCTCAGGGCTTCCAGAAAGGCTAAATCTTGTTAATTATTTGAAAACAATTTATTAAAGTTTTTTATAAATTTAGTTTTAATTCTTTGGAAGCAAATCTGTCTTTGAAGCCGCAGCAGACAAAGGCTGGCGGCTGCGCTGTACGTACACCGCAGACCTCCCTATACACCCCAGAGCTGCCCGTACACCCCAAAGCCCAGAGCCCGATCTGCTGCCTGGCTTCTAGTGGAAGCTGTTGACAAGCCCCAGAGACGCAGCAGCAGCAGCAGAAGCAGCAACACCAGCAGTTGAAGCAGCAGCAGCAGCAGCAGCAGCAGCTGCTGCTGCTGCAACAGAAACCGGGCCGACACAGCAGCCCAAAGTCGGCTGCCGCAGAGAGAAGAGCACTTGAAGTTTAAGAAGCTGCTGCAGCAGCAGCCACTGCTGCTGCTGCTGCGGCTGCAGCAACTGCTGCTGCTGCTGCTGCAGCAAATGGAAAACGTTGCTTCTGCTACGGCCCTCGAAGTATAGCAAGCAGCAACACGTGGGCCCGCTGCAGCAGTTCTTTAGGTGCCAGTCGCCTAGGAAAGCAGCAGCAGCAGCAACAGCAGCAGCAGCAACAGCAGCAGCAGCAACAGCAGCAGCAGCACGCAACAACAGCAGCAGCAACACCCACCTCATCGACAACTGTAGGACCCCTTTGCCGCACTCCTGCTTGACAATGCGGCTGCTGCTTTTTCTCTTCAACTGCCTCTTTGCTGCTGCTGCTGCTGCTGCTGCTGCTGATGTGCAGCGGCTGACTGTTTCCGAGCTGAGAGACATGCTGCGTGCAGCGCGTGCAGCAGCAGCAGCAGCAAACACAGCAGCAGCAGCAGCAAAAGGCCCAGCAGCAGAAGCAGCCGCTGGAACAGCAGCAGCAGCAGAAGCCGCAGCAGCAGCAGCCGGAACAGCAGCAGCAGCAGCAGCAGGAGCAGCAGCAGCAGCAGCAGAAAGCTTCGAGCTGCTGTTTGTTGCCTTCACCAGCAACACGTCAACAGCGTGGGCAGCTTTGGCCCGGCCCTTCAGAGCAGCAGCAGCAGACTATGCGCGCGTTGCTGCAGCGCAGCACGAGGCCCTCACTCAGCAGCAGCAGCAGCAGCAGCAGCAGCAGCAGCAGCAGCAGGGGCTGCTGCTGTTGCCCACAGTCTCTTTTAGGGAGTTCGACTGCGCAGCAAATGCTGAGGCCTCTTCTCTCTGCACTGTTTGTCTTGCAATACCCATGCACCCCACATTCCTGCTGCTGCGGCGGCCTGCTGCTGCTGCTGCTGCTGCTGCTGCTGCTGCAGAGGAAACGTCCAGCCCTGAGCTAGCAGCAGCAGCAGCAGCAGCAGCAGTTGACGCTGTAGTTGTCGACGCCTTCAGCCCCACAGCAGCTCCCAGCGGAGGGGATTTTGTGCAGTTTTTGCTGCGCTATGCTTCTCCCTTCTCCGCCCCAGCAGCAGCAGCAGCAGCAGCAGCGGAAGCAGCAGCAGCAGCAGCAGCAGCAGCAGCAGAGGACAGATGCGTGATAGACGTGGAGGGGCAGCAGCTAGTGGAGCTGCTGCACTTTGACAGCAGCGCCGGCAGCAGCATGCCTTCTTTCTTGCTTTGCCTGGGGCCCCACACGCAGCAACCAGCAGCAGCAACAGCAGCAGCAGCAGCAACAGCAGCAGCAGCAGCAGCAGCAGCAGCAGCAGCAGCAGAAAGGGATGCTGCGCTTTCTGCCTTCCGAAGAGCTTCCTGTACGTACCCAAGAAGGAATTTGTTTCTTTTGTCTAGAGACCTTACCCTTTGCTCCAAAATCAGCAGCAGCAGCAGCAGCAGCAGCAACAGCAGCAGCAGCAGCAGCAGCAGCAGCAGCAGCGAGAGCTCGTTTATGCTGCTCGCGCTGCAGCCTCTCGCTGCTGCTGCTGCAGCAGCAGAGCAGCAAGGAGGACAGCCCACGGAGCGGCAGCAGCAGCAAGAGATGATGACTTTCTTGAGGAGACAGTGGAGAGACAGCAAAGAAAGGCAAGACCTCCTTGAAGCAGTCCGTGTTCTCAGCAGCAGCAGCAGCAGCAGCAGCAGCAGCAGTAGCTGCAGCAGCAGCAGCAGTAGCTGCAGCAGCAGCAGCAGCAGCAGCAGCAGCGGGGGAGGAGTCTGTGTCCCGCTGCTGCTGGCGCAGGAGAGAGATTTCTTCCTGCCTACGATGGACGGCGGCTGCAGCGGCGCTGCTGCTGCCGCTGCTGCTGCTGATTACCAAGCA